TTAAAATGCTTCTCGGACTTTTTTAAGAGCCAGAGGCTCGGGAGCCGCAAGCGTGGAGGCGCTCAATCAGTTTATGGCTATGGGGCGAAGGTGGTCGGGGACGGAAAATTCAATGGTTCGTAGACGAGGCTCAAGAGAAAGGGGACAAAAACATGATAAGCAAAACGTGGAAAACGGTGTAGGAGGAATTTACCAGTCCATTCCATCCATCCCATCAGATTCTTTGGCTGATTGAGATTGGTCATCGCATAGCGTGTAGAATTTAATGAAATAGGACATATATATTGGCTATAGGTTTTGTTTTAGTTTTCCTTGTTTTTTGATTCGTATTTATTTTGCCTTTCATTATTCTCTAGCGTGTTGAGAAGTTAATTGATTCGCTATTTGGTTGCCGTAGCCCTCTCCCTGCTTGCTTTTTATTTCATTTTGTCTTGGTGTATTAAGTTTGGTTTTGGGCTGATCTCTTGAAAGATGTCTATCTCAACGCTGCGGGCATCGGGATCTCTCCCTCTATCCACGATGGCGAATAGATAGGAAAAAAATGTACCATGTGTTTTGAGAGATATAAACAGAGTCGAAACTCGTATCTTATGATAATTCTTTGTTTTCCTTAGGGGCGCGCCGTGGTGGAGTGCCATATACAGTTCGGAGAGTGGTTGGGGAGGGAATTACAACCCAAAAAGCCTTTAAATATTGGTTCGCAGCGGAAGAGTCGTAATGCCCAGGCTTTAGAGATAATGATAATCAGGTCGTTTTTGATAGAGCCTTTTGGTCATGCTGGGGTCGATAAAGGCCCAATCCATTTCGCAGCTAACCAGCAGGTGGCCGCCTCTGTACTTGGGGGAAATGAGATTTCGAGGTATGCGTGAGGCATTTTTCCCCAACATCGCATCGTTCGTTTCCGGGGTGATCGGCCAAAGGACGTGATAGGAGGAGGTTGTTACATGGAGGCCGGTCAGTCTCCATGTAGCCGTAGAAGCCACAATATAGGACCGTTTGAGCTGAGGGGACGTAATATATTTATATATAAAAAGAATTTCAAGGATAAGAGATCAAAAGGCAATACGTCTCTTTCGGCCAGTATACTTCGAATTCGGTTTGACGATCTTGCCCTTGCGTTCCATCTGCTCCTTTTTCCTCATAATCCAAGCTTTGGACCCTTTGACCTGTGCTGGGTTTACACCTCTTCTTCCCTGAGACTGAGCAGCCATGGCCTTCTTCCTCGCATCCAGAACATCAACATCATCCATGCCTTCCACGACACCGGTAATGTCGCCTTGCAGACCACCTCCACCAACAGTAAGCACAAGGTAGAGCTTGCTGTTCTTCGTCCCAGGGTCGTCTTCAAGAATACCAGCACCGAACCCAGCCTTCATGGCCGCCCCGCTAATCATGCTCCTCTGCGCATCGTTTTTAGGGTAAAACTGGCACACAGCGCGCGCACCCCGACGCAAACTCGCATATAGCCCATCAAAGAATCTTCGTAGCCGACCTTCCGGACTAACGTCACTAGATTCAGCATTACACAGCCACTGAATGGCACTGATGCTCACGGCTGCGTCAAATGTACCCGCACGGAACGGGATACCCTGCCCTATGTCCGCTAGAAAGAGGTCGCCCTCTACATCTCTCTGAAGCGCAATGTCTAGCATTGAGGGGGAGATATCCATACCAACCCAGGTGTGGGGACCGCCTTCGGACGGCGGGACGGCGGAGAGGATTTCGCCTGATAAGCCGGAGCCACAGCCAATGTCGAGGATTAGAGAGGGGGATTTGAGATCGAGGAGTTCGAGGGCACGGTGGGTCATGTCTGATTGAATGTTGCGGATTCGAGAAGAGGTGGTGTATTTGCGGGATTCGGAGTCATTGTAGAAGAGATCTGGGGGTCTATTTTTCAATGTAAGTGTTAGGGATTATGGTGAAATACGATTTAGATTTCTAGGTATCGGGGTTTTGTAGGCATACAGAGTGTCTTCGGGACGAGACATTGTGTGAAATTTGAATTTTTCGAGCACTCGTCGTATTTTGGATATTCCGGCGAACAAATGGACAATAGTATTATTTCCCGTCTCTTTTCCGCTTCTTCGTATTAATATGTAGTTACCCTTTTTCTTCTATCAGGTCCGTAAATAGCTGCAGTAACTGAGATATATCCAGGATGTGAAGTGGTATGAGCGGTTTGTGGGATTGGAATAGCGCAGAAAGAAAAATTCAGTGTGGGAATTTAAGAAAATTGACTTGGTCGTTGCCTTTTTCCTCTTTGGGACAGACTTCATCGTCATCATATTTACATAAATATTTGGCTACAAAGACCAGACCGACCCAACGAACAGATATTTTTTACGTTTATTGCTCTGCAGAACAGCGTCGATTCCAACACAAACAACGGAATGACACTTCATTCGTGTATACCTTGATTTCGCGCACATCTATCTCCTCCCCCTACAGCAAACACAATATACCATATCCTCCCGCCGCAGCCATGTGGATTCTGCCCTTGGTCGGGTACCTGGGTTTAATCGTCGGATTCGCATTCCTAACCCTCGCCATAGGTAAAAAAAGAAAATAATAAACCTCCCACATCTATACAAAGACATGTAATAAACTAATAAATACTCGCCCAGCCTCCGGCCTCTATTACCTCTCTGAGCTTGTCGAAGAACACACCGTGCTCGCGCGCCGCCTCCTATCCCGCCTGATATACTTCATAATAGCCCTCCATGTCCTCCTCTGCCTGGTTGACCAGCTGCCCTTCACCCTCTGCGCGCTCAGCGTAATCTCCCACTTAATCTACGCGGCCAATCTGCGCCGCTTCCCCATCGTTAAGCTCACAGACCCCATCTTCATCACCTCCTGCCTTCTCGTCGGCCTCAACCACTGGCTCTGGTTCCGCTACTTCTCAGACCCAATATCAGCCCAGCCGTCCAGGTCCATGCCCTGGTCAAAAGATGCGGGCAGCAATACCCGACAGTCATATTACTACGGCGCGGTGACAGATCTTCCGTCGTTTACAGAGGTAGCGTCTTACTTCGGGCTGTGCGTTTGGCTAGTACCATTTGCGCTGTTTGTGAGCCTGAGCGCGGGTGAGAATGTGCTGCCGAGCATGGGCTCTGAGTATGCGACTGGGGCCACGGCGGCGTCGTCGCTGGCTGATCGGAATGCGAAACTAAAGAACAAGGGCATGGCCAAGGCATTGGTCGATGGTGTGCGGGAATGGATGGGGGATACGGGCGAGCTTATGGGGTTTTGGAGGGGGGAGAAGACGAGGAGGTTTTAATGGACCTGCTTGTTCCTTGGTTTTATTTATTCATTACCACCTCTCTGATTTTCGCGGGCGAGTTAAATTGTGGTCGATTCCTCTTTTACTGAAATGGCGAGCGTATAAACCATTTTAATGCATCTACTACCTCCGAAATTCCTTTTGCTCTTTCCTTGACGACTGATTTGAATGTTTATGACGTGTTTGAACTGCGCTGCATGGGGACTCACACTGTATATATATTGTATTATCGACGTAAATGCACCAAAACTAATTACTTAATAATTGTGTTGAAGAAGTGGTGTTTTAAGAGGAGGAAAGGAGGAAAGTTTACGGGTTATCATCGTTATGGTGTGCTGCGCACACAAAGTCCACTTGCCTTGGTTGTGGGACACTTCCCGGTAGCCAACCGAAATACCACATTATTAATTGATTAGACTCAAGAGACTGCTACCAAGGACCATTTAGAACGGGTCCATCCAGAAATCTGGCATCACAACTTCGTAGCGAAGGTTTCTTTTCGTGCCTGAGTCCCATTTCCTTAGCAGCGATTTTCTCTGGAATGCCCCCTCATATTGTCCGGCATCTATGTAGTTATGTAACTTGCTTTTGCTCCTCGTCGGGATGACATATCCGTATATGCAGAATCATACGGACTATTCGGATAGCAGAACATCAAATGCGGGGCCGTAGATTAGACAGCGTCGCCTCGAGAAGCATAATCAAGGCAGAAGAGAGTCGAGATAGCACAGACCAGTGAGTAGTTGCATGTACTGTACCTTCTGTCCCGGCTATCCGTTCCTAGCTATGGTGCACGTCTCCGCTTGGATTGGATTGAGTTCCCTGGTAGCGACGTCTCTCGAAAAAGTCAAACTGACATACGAGAGTGCCGATGCCTTTGTATAAACAGGTTCCCTCTGCGAATACCTAAGCACAGCTTGTGTTGGTGGAAATAGTATGCTGGAGAGAAAACATGTACGTAAGATAGAAAACGGGCGACTGCATGAGATTAGGAACAGTCGACGCTTCATGTTTCGATTCAGCCAATATCAACCGGACTGCTGACCGTCTGGCTGTCTGACTATCACTACCCGCTGAGAATTCACCCTCATTGCTTTACCATATCTGGAGCTGTGTTACACACCGGGCGGAATGTATGTATATACCACAGGAATCGTGCATCCTTTCGGCACCGAAAAAGTATGCAGGGCATGCCGATTCACGGATTTGAAGTCCTGTCAAGTGCAATTGATCAACTTTAATGAGAATATATCCGAGGATCTGCCGTCCATGCTGTCCGTCCGTTCCCAAAGATGCGCTCCCCAAGCCATAGCGAGTAGTAGTACTCTGCGTAGGCAGGGGACATTAGGTAGGATAGATATATCAGTTCAGATATACTCCGTATGCGGAGTATAAAACAGTGGACAAGACGACGGCCCCACAGCGTGCTTGGATCTACACAGGGAAAAGGGACACTGACAGGCAGATCCGTGGACTGTGGACCGTGGGATATACGAACCATTCCAAATAATAATAATAACCTCTGCTCTGGGTATTGCCATATTGATGAATCTCGCAGAAAAACTTAAGCAAATCTTCAGGAAAAACTTTAGAAAATCTCGTAGGCAAGTTTAACCCCCTGACATGAGCAAGCCCTAGCCCTAGTCCTAGCCCTAACTCACTCTCGCCCTTTTCAGCCGCAGAAACCTCAACATCCTTAAATCTTCTTCGCCTGTTGGTTTGCTAATAACTTGCTGCTGGTGATATTTTAATAACTCACGATGATTTATGATTTATATGATCCTTCTCAACATCAGCAGGGATGGACAACTTGTCTGGCCCAACGCCTTGTCGTGTTTCAGCCGGTTGCAGCCAATGGGCTCGGCGGTTGGTTCCTAGTCATCTTTTAGGCCCTGCCAGTGCCTGTTCGCCACGTCCGTCTTGAAAAAATTAAAATAAAATAAAATAAAATTATGACTATTGGTGTCTTTGTGAGCTATACCTTGTTCCTTTCCCGCGCCAGGGTCTGTCTCTTTTCTCCGATCCGCTCTTTGTGTGGGTTTAATATCAAATCCGTAATCAAAGTGTCGGCGCCCAGTCTGCAACCAATCTCCCTCCCTCCCCTCCCAGTCTGTCACAACGGTACGGTACCTGGCAGGCTTCACGGGGAATCGCTTCCTTCGTTTTGCCGCTCCTTTGTTTAAATAACTCCCGGCACAAACACCGGGCATTCCGTGTTCATCTGGGCTCTACACCGGTATAACCCGGTGAATGACAAAAAAATAAAAAAATTCGCCGTGTTGCAGAACAATAATGAGGCGGGGGGTTTTTCTTGGTCCTCTTGATCTACATTTTTTCTTTTTTCTTCTTCATCTCTTTTTGATAACGCCAAAACTCATCGCGCTTTGACTGCGATTGGGATTGTCCCTAATCCCAGACTCCAATGGCACGCCAGCGGTGACTTTTCTTAGCCCCAACTTCCAAGTGGTTGGCAAATGCCCCCACAGGCCCGCGCGATGATGTTCTAGCCAATTGGACATTTTCTGCTCTGTCCTGTCCGTGGTTAACCTTCAATGAAGACCCGCCATGAACCCTTGGCTAGAAGCCTTCTGTCTGCCATGCTTCGCATAGCATAGCGAGGGAGAGTTAACAGCCGTTTTATACCCAGATTACTGAACCGTGGCTGCAGCACACGTCACCCACTCGCCGCGTCAGGTACCGGTTGTTGCCCACCAATAGTACCGCCCCTGTTCCTGAATTTTCGGGCCATAATGGCGAGGTTCCAGGCTTCAAGGGCGATTTCACCACACCCCCTCAGTGCCCTCCCCCGGGGGGCGAGAATTGATAGTTGGACCGGTCCCAAGGCCAGCAATCAATCACTTTTCCGTTTATGTCTCCCAGATCTGGGTACTTCCGGTTGCTGCAATCTACCTGGCACCCGTGTCTTGGGGATGTTCAGAGGCGGGAAGCCACTTCCTGGGCGTAACGCCAGGCCCTGGCGCTTGCTCAACCAGGATCTCCGGGGCGTATATAAAGACCCTTGCATTCCCACTGGCGATGGCTTTTCGTCAATTTATCCCTTTTATCCGTCCCTTCCTTTGCGTACAGCAGACCAACCACACTCCTTATATTTTCCACCACTTCTGGTCTCTGCACGATATCAAAAAGATAGAAAAAATCCACACTCGCTTTCTGACGCCGGCGTTCAAATAACATATATACATATACATATATCCAACTACATACTCATCCTTCCTTTCGTCGCAAGCATGCAACTGAAAACCGTCATCGCTCTCCTTGGAGCTCTTGCTCCCCTCAGCCTGGCCCAGCCCCATGGCCACCACCACCGTCACATCTCCAAGAGACTTGAATGGACCACCGTCGTATCCGACATCTTCACCACCGCCGGCTTCGGTGGCCGCGCCGCCGCCAACACTGGGAGCATCGACACCTACTCAGGCAACGTCGGCAACCCCTGGGGCAGCAACATCATCGAGGTCTCCGAAAGCGACGCCTCCAGTTACAAATACGTAGCACAAATCAAGGGCCAGAACACAGAGCCATGGACTGTCGTCTTCTGGAACAAAATGGGCCCAACCGGCAAGCTTGATGGCCACTACGGCAACAGCGCCCTTACCTTCACCCTGAACGCGGGCGAGACCAAGTATGTCGCCTTCGACGAGAACACCCAAGGCAGCTTTGGCGCCTACCCTGGCGACAGTCTGCCCAAGAACAACTATGGCGCATACGCGTGCACGTGGGGTGAATTCGACTTTGGTAGCACACCCAACAAGGGCTGGTCTGGATTTGACGTTTCCGCCATCCAGGCACAGCTGTCCAATATGCCAGTGCAAGGCATGAAGATGTGCGAGGTTGGCGGTGTTTGCTCGACTGTCACTGGAGCTGGAGGATTCGATAATGCCTACGCGGCCAAGGACCATGCCATTGGTGGCATTGGGGGCAACCTACCTCCTGGCCCTGTCCGCCTTGAGGTTATCATCGCCTACCAGGGATAAAATAAAGAACTGGGGAGGGAGTCCACTTTAGAATATCCTGGTTGATATATGCAATACCCGAGTCATTCTTTTGACTATTATTGACCATTATACTTTCATTCTTTCAATGTATATATTTTTTTATCTTATCACTCTTTTTTTGACTATGAACAGAGGCGTCTGCGGTGGGAAACCCGTTTTTCTGTCCATACATATATAGGAAACGGGTTAAAAGGCGTTTAGATATGCGTCTCGAAAAATATTTCACAAATCCATTCGCTTACTTCCTGTTCAGTCAAAAAAAATAAAAGGAAGGAAAGAGATGATCAACTACATCCCTCTCCCCCCTTTTTTGTTTTTAGGTATCAAATAATAATTAACCGGTCACCTACCTGCCTGTCAACTAGGAAAATGGTGCATGTCCAACATGGATGCATGCCACCGTCTTCCGAGTTCTGCCCCTGCATATCCGGGTAAGCTCCCTTTCCGATCCATGGATCCCTCATGGCATGGGGTGGAAAACTTTCGTGTATGCTCGACGGCGATTGTAGCACACTTACGTAGCGTAGTATTTACATTTAAATTATTAATAATAATAATAATAATAATAATAAAATTAAAAATTAAAAAATTAAAAAAAAAAAAAAAAAAATAACAAAATGGGCGAGAAAACCCAACTAGTATAATCTTTTCTGTATGCCTTACATCTCTGCTCTCAAGTATTGATCTTGTCTTGTCTCGCGCTCTTGTTGTCTATAGCTTCGCACAATATATGCCAACCGAAAGCTAACGGAAAAGCAGAAAACAAGCGGAAGGAAAAGAAATAGAAGAGTCGTGCCACCGCTGCAGAGGATTGATACGGAATAGAATGAGATTGAAAAAAGAGAAAAACGAAAAACGAAATCGAAGTTCTGGAGGAAAGAGAGGTAGTATTTCCCTGGCGCTGCAGAAGTGTAGGAAGAATCAAAGAAGTAGGAAAAAAATCATTTCATATGATGGGAAAAATGGGAGTGAAAAAATTGAAAATAGAAAATAGGAAAGAAAATGCTATAAGCGGAGGAGAGAAGAAAGACTACATCACCATTCACTGCTGATCAAAAAAGACAAAATAGAAAGGAAGAAAAAGACCAGACCAGAAAAGAGGAAAAGAGCAGCAAACCAGAAAGAAATATACTGTACAATCCTCTCTTCCTCAGTTGCGATCCTCCAATATGGGCCACAAGCCAGTGGCGGTCTCATCCTTCAGAGAGCAACAGGGCAAAACCAGGAAAGGCCAAGAAAATGAAATCGAATAAAAAAATTAAAAAAAATAAAGTCGAAGAAAGTCGAAGAAAGTCGAAGAAAGAAGAAAAGATAAAGCAAATTAACAAGGAGGGAAAAAAGAAAAGCACAGGGTATAAAGGTATAAAATCAAAAATAATAGCAGAAGAGAAGAGGAGAGAAAGAAAAGAGCCTTCCAGCGATCATCCGTTTCCTCTCTCGAAAAAAAGGATAAATCGCCAGGAAATTACCCGCAGGCAGACAGCGGAATTAGAAAATAGAGCATCAAATCATCCATACATCCATACATCCATCCCTTCACACATTAAAATTACATAACTCCATTCCTTCCATTCCATTTCTTTCATTCTTTTCATCTTTTCTTTCGTTTCTGTTCTCGGACAAAGGACTTCCTTTATCCACATTTGGTCCAGCTGGGAGTGGCGGGGAAAGAGGAAACAGGCATACTATTAAAAGAGAGGGGAACAAGGCGGGAAATTGGGAGAGAAAAATACCAATAAACACAACGCAAAGCCAGGCGTATGTAATATGTATATCCATCCCAACCGCGCTCTCTGTCCCCTTCGTTCCACCGCCACGATTCAAAGAGAAAAAAAATAAAAATAAAAAAAATAAAGAACATGAAGCGTCTGTTATCACTCAAACGCGGAGTCTTCAGATACCATAGCTATTTCTCACACAAGATAAGGTTAGCATTCATCACAAGGTACTACTCCAATCTACTCATCTAAAACCAACCAACCAAAAAAAATATAAAATATAAATAATAAAAAGAGAAAGGCTTAAAAGGGAGAAGGGAGGGAAGGGGAAACAAAGAAAGGGGTCAAACAAAATTTCACCTACACCGCTCATCTCTTCCCCTCTGCCCATTACCCATTGCACCTTTTTTCCCCAAATTCATAAAGAGCAAATTACTCTCTCGCCGCTTCGCCTTACTCGTCACATTATGACTAGAACCATTATTTCCATCGTCGTCATTATTATTACCAGATGTCGATATGGGCGGCGGCATCAGACTACTCATGGAGTTATACGGGTCCGCACCCAACATCTGCTGCTCATAGGTGGGCTGCATAGGTATAAAGCCCGTGTTGTCGAATTTGTCGCGCGAGCGGTCGCGGTCCCGCTGCTGGTCCCATTGCTGTTGGGTGGAATGGGCATGTTGAGCTTCCTGCGGCGTCAAATCCGACCGATAGCGATGTTGCGGTGCCGGTGACGACGACTGCCGGAATGACGTTTGGTTATAGGACGGGGTCGGCAGGTCGGAGAACATTTGATGGCGGGGTGAGCGTATATCTTCCGGGTTCAAGGACTTGTTGTCTCCGAATAGTTCTGCAGGGCCGGCGTTGTGTATGGAAAACTCCGACACGGGTTCACCGAAGATGCTTTCAAAGTCTGTGAGGAACATTGAGAAGACTGGGGCAGGAATGTTGAGGGTTGGTGCGAAAACGATGCCGACATTGCGAACGGTCATTTTGTTTACGTCTGAGTTGTTGATGATGTCAATTAGGTATTGAGACAGGGCTTTGAGGAGTGTCAGGTTTGGTCTGGGGAGACGGTGAACGAGTCCGTTAAAAGCGACTATTTTCTTCTGTTTGTCATCGAGATCTATATTATATTTATCGTCAGTCAGTGAATTCCGGCATTTCAAACAAGTAGACCGCTAACGAGAACTCACCAAGCACCCGAATAAAATCCAAATGCAAGTCTCTAGTCAGTACCGTCGTCGGCAACTCGCGCAGATACTGCTTGAACAAGGACGCAACAGCGTGAACATCATAATACGTATCGCCCTCCAGAAAGTCCAAATCTCCCTCTGTATTAAATTTCTCCTTAAGAGCTCTAATCACCACATTCGAGCCGCTGAGACGGAAAATGCCCTCTTCCAGCGCCGCATCCTTCACGCGCAGGTAATCAATGCACCGGTAAACAACCGCCGGAAGGCCTGTATTAAGCCCCGGAACCCCACAAAACTCCACCGCCTCTGCGAGGGGCAGCCCAAAGACCGCGCGAACCGCCTCTCGCCGCTCAATTGGGGAATTGCTGTTGCTAGTCTCGTGATTCTGTATCTGGTTAGCTAACTCAGCTGTTGACGCAGCGCGAAAGCCCCAGATGGAGCGTTTCTTCTCCTTCGTGGTCATCGGCGGGGGAGCTTTATTTCCCCACGCCCCGGCATCCTGGATTTTGGCTCCGTTGGTTGGGCCGGAGATGCTTTTGAGCGATGGAGACTGCGGCATATTCTGATCCCATGGAAGCTGATACCCTGGTTCCGGTAACCCAGCGGCGGCGGCCGCGCCCCTGCCCGGAGGAAGGACACTACCTGGCGGCCCGCGGACGGGGGCCTCAGCGGCGACGACATCGTCGTAACTAAATGAGCGGAGTTTATCGCCGGGTCCAGTTTCCTCAGGGCTATCTGTATCCTTGCTATTCTTCCTCGCACTGCCGTGTAGTAGACGACTCTTTGACAGCCCATCATGTTTTGAAGGTTGGCGATGAGACCTGGAGCTCTCCTCCTCGTCCGACTCTTGCTCAACATAGCTCAAAAGAGCCTCAACCCACGAGTCCCTCTCCTCATCGCTCTCAGCACACAATACATGGCGCACAAGAGCTGAGGAGTCCTTCTTCTTAGGCTCCAGAATGAGAAACGCGTGGCGATACTGGTTATCCAAATCGTCATCCAACCGTGATGGTGACTGATTGCTGTTCGCCGACTGAGACTGTTTGCCGATCTGCGCATGGCGAATCTTGATGGTTCCCATATGCGGACCACCGGGGGATTCATAATACTTCAGCTCCGGCCCATCGAGGACGAAGTACCTCGCTTTCCACCCACCGAAGTTCTTCCCTCGCTTTGTCAAATACCCTTCGATCCTCGGCTTCCCGTCAGGCCCCAAGGGATAAGACCGTTTCCCCTTGTGCTCACCGTTGATGAGGCTAGTCTCATCATCGCGCGGCTCAATAGCATCCGCCGTCAAAAACTGGCATATCACCAACGCACCCGCCTCGTCCATCTGCGTCTCAAGGATAGACTCAAAGTAGCCATTCAAGGCAGCTCTGCGCGCATCGACCTTGGCTGGGGAATGGCCGCTGAAGATGGACCGGTCAGGCAAGCGCCCAGCGAAGTTCGACATTGCTTGTTTCAATTGTTGATCCAACTGCGGCAAGGCTAGGATAACTTTTTCTACCCGCCATAGCTCCGCGCGGTTAGCCCGCGAGAACACACTGAGCGTGAAAACGGGCTCTTCGTCTGTAGGTTTGAGGGCCAAGTAGCTGTTACGTGACGGTCGTAGGCGGGACGAAGAAACTTTAATGTCAATAGAGGGTAGAGCGTTGGGAGGGAGAAGTAGATCGGGGTGCTGATCCGACACCAGGCCACGATATATGCGACTTTGGAAGGTCCCTGGAGACGTTGGGCTATCGATCTTTACGGAAGCGTCGAAAGTAGGGATTTCCTGCCTGGGAGCGTCGTTTTGCACGGGAGGAGGAATGGAAAGTTCAGCTGGTTTAGTCGGAGAATTCTTGCCCGTAGTAGCCGCAACAAGATTAGCAGGCCCCGAGAACGGAGGCGCAGGAAACCTTGTAGCTCGTGGTGACACTGGAAGGCCGTTCCTAGGTGAGATGGGCGGCGACGCCATATTACCGTGGCCGTCCTTCGGGAAGCGTGGAAGTGGAGAGCCCAGCGGGCGATCTCCTGGTCGTGGGCTTAGTGGTAAGCCGGGACTCATTGGAGGGGATAAGGCCAGTCTATCTTTTTCCGACGACGCAGCGTCACTCGCCGGGGGGCTCAACATTGTTGCAAGAGAATCAAGTGGAGGAATTTGTTGCGCAAGCCCAGGAGGGGGTGAGTGGGCAACCATGCGATTCCCCACAAACCCCGTCCCACCAAACACTCCTTGTGGTGGATGGGAGTTTTGGGGTAAGTCGGGGGGATGTGCCATTTTCGCTTTCATTTTACTGGAAGCGCTGCGAGCAGCTTTCTCCTGGAGCAGAAGCGCTTCACGTTGTCGATCGTCCTCTTCCCTAGTTTTTCTCCTTCCTCGACTCTCCATTCTGGGAATTCCATCAGTGTCCAAATTATCATCGTAATCCGAGTCATCCCCAACAGCTACATTCACCCGCTGAGTTTGGGCATGAACACGTTCAGTTTGGCTGAGATTTAACGGGGCAGGGGGGGGTCTCCTGAGAGGAGGTGGTGTCTGTTTCAGGAGATCACCAGTGGGTAAACTTGCAGCAGACGTGCTATTCGAAGACATATCAGTGTTGTTAGTCGTGCCACTTTGTTTGTCAT